CTCTCTGTGACATGGCCTCTCTCTCTCCTGTTGTACCTTTGCTCTCTGTGACATGGCTCTCTCCTCTCCTGTTGTACCTTTGCTCTCTGTGACATGGCCCTCTCTCTCTCCTGTTGTACCTTTGCTCTCTGTGACATGGCCTCTCTCTCTCCTGTTGTACCTTGCCTTGCCTCTCTGTTGACTTGCTCTCTCTGACATGCCTCTCTCCTGTTGTACCTTTGCTCTCTGTGACATGGCCTCTCTCTCTCTCCTGTTGTACCTTTGCTCTCTGTGACATGGCCTCTCTCTCTCCTGTTGTACCTTTGCTCTCTGTGACATGGCCTCTCTCTCTCTCCTGTTGTACCTTTGCTCTCTGTGACATGGCCTCTCTCTCTCCTGTTGTACCTTGCTCTCTGTGACATGCCTCTCTCTCTCTCCTGTTGTACCTTTGCTCTCTGTGACATGGCCTCTCTCTCTCCTGTTGTACCTTTGCTCTCTGTGACATGGCCTCTCTCTCTCCTGTTGTACCTTTGCTCTCTGTGACATGGCCTCTCTCTCTCTCCTGTTGTACCTTTGCTCTCTGTGACATGGCCTCTCTCCTCCTGTTGTACCTTTGCTCTCTGTGACATGGCCTCTCTCTCTCCTGTTGTACCTTTGCTCTCTGTGACATGGCCTCTCTCTCTCTGTTGTACTTTGCTCTGTGACATGGCTCTCTCTCTCTCCTGTTGTACCTTGCTCTCTGTGACATGGCCTCTCTCTCTCCTGTTGTACCTTTGCTCTCTGTGACATGGCCTCTCTCTCTCCTGTTGTACCTTTGCTCTCTGTGACATGGCCTCTCTCTCTCTCCTGTTGTACCTTTGCTCTCTGTGACATGGCCTCTCTCTCTCCTGTTGTACCTTTGCTCTCTGTGACATGGCCTTCTCTCTCCTGTTGTACCTTTGCTCTCTGTGACATGGCTCTCTCTCTCTCCTGTTGTACCTTTGCTCTCTGTGACATGGCCTCTCTCTCTCTCCTGTTGTACCTTTGCTCTCTGTGACATGGCCTCTCTCTCTCTCCTGTTGTACCTTTGCTCTCTGTGACATGGCCTCTCTCTCTCTCCTGTTGTACCTTTGCTCTCTGTGACATGGCCTCCTCTCTCTCTCCTGTTGTACCTTTGCTCTCTGTGACATGGCCTCTCTCTCTCTCCTGTTGTACCTTTGCTCTCTGTGACATGGCCTCTCTCTCTCTCCTGTTGTACCTTTGCTCTCTGTGACATGGCCTCTCTCTCCTGTTGTACCTTTGCTCTCTGTGACATGGCCTCTCTCTCTCCTGTTGTACCTTTGCTCTCTGTGACATGGCCTCTCTCTCTCCTGTTGTACCTTTGCTCTCTGTGACATGGCTCTCTCTCTCTCCTGTTGTACCTTTGCTCTCTGTGACATGGCCTCTCTCTCTCCTGTTGTACCTTTGCTCTCTGTGACATGGCCTCTCTCTCTCTCCTGTTGTACCTTTGCTCTCTGTGACATGCTCTCTCTCTCCTGTTGTACCTTTGCTCTCTGTGACATGGCCTCTCTCTCTCCTGTTGTACCTTTGCTCTCTGTGACATGGCCTCTCTCTCTCTCCTGTTGTACCTTTGCTCTCTGTGACATGGCTCTCTCTCTCTCCTGTTGTACCTTTGCTCTCTGTGACATGGCCTCTCTCTCTCCTGTTGTACCTTTGCTCTCTGTGACATGGCCTCTCTCTCTCCTGTTGTACCTTTGCTCTCTGTGACATGGCCTCTCTCTCTCTCCTGTTGTACCTTTGCTCTCTGTGACATGGCCTCTCTCTCTCTCCTGTTGTACCTTTGCTCTCTGTGACATGGCTCTCTCTCTCTCTCTGTTGTACCTTTGCTCTCTGTGACATGGCCTCTCTCTCTCTCCTGTTGTACCTTTGCTCTCTGTGACATGGCCTCTCTCTCTCCTGTTGTACCTTTGCTCTCTGTGACATGGCTCTCTCTCTCTCCTGTTGTACCTTTGCTCTCTGTGACATGGCCTCTCTCTCTCCTGTTGTACCTTTGCTCTCTGTGACATGGCCTCTCTCTCTCTCCTGTTGTACCTTTGCTCTCTGTGACATGGCCTCTCTCTCTCTCCTGTTGTACCTTTGCTCTCTGTGACATGGCCTCTCTCTCTCCTGTTGTACCTTTGCTCTCTGTGACATGGCCTCTCTCTCTCCTGTTGTACCTTTGCTCTCTGTGACATGGCCTCTCTCTCTCCTGTTGTACCTTTGCTCTCTGTGACATGGCCTCTCTCTCTCCTGTTGTACCTTTGCTCTCTGTGACATGGCCTCTCTCTCTCCTGTTGTACCTTTGCTCTCTGTGACATGGCCTCTCTCTCTCCTGTTGTACCTTTGCTCTCTGTGACATGGCCTCTCTCTCTCCTGTTGTACCTTTGCTCTCTGTGACATGGCCTCTCTCTCTCCTGTTGTACCTTTGCTCTCTGTGACATGGCCTCTCTCTCTCCTGTTGTACCTTTGCTCTCTGTGACATGGCCTCTCTCTCTCCTGTTGTACCTTTGCTCTCTCTTCTGGCCTCTCGTGAATCTCTCCTGTTGTACCTTTGCTCTCTGTGACATGGCCTCTCTCTCTCTCCTGTTGTACCTTTGCTCTCTGTGACATGGCCTCTCTCTCTCCTGTTGTACCTTTGCTCTCTGTGACATGGCCTCTCTCTCTCCTGTTGTACCTTTGCTCTCTGTGACATGGCCTCTCTCTCTCTCCTGTTGTACCTTTGGCTCTCTGTGACATGGCCTCTCTCTCTCCTGTTGTACCTTTGCTCTCTGTGACATGGCTCTCTCTCTCTCCTGTTGTACCTTTGCTCTCTGTGACATGGCCTCTCTCTCTCTCCTGTTGTACCTTTGCTCTCTGTGACATGGCCTCTCTCTCTCTCCTGTTGTACCTTTGCTCTCTGTGACATGGCCTCTCTCTCTCCTGTTGTACCTTTGCTCTCTGTGACATGGCCTCTCTCTCTCCTGTTGTACCTTTGCTCTCTGTGACATGGCCTCTCTCTCTCCTGTTGTACCTTTGCTCTCTGTGACATGGCCTCTCTCTCTCCTGTTGTACCTTTGCTCTCTGTGACATGGCCTCTCTCTCTCCTGTTGTACCTTTGCTCTCTGTGACATGGCCTCTCTCTCTCCTGTTGTACCTTTGCTCTCTGTGACATGGCCTCTCTCTCTCCTGTTGTACCTTTGCTCTCTGTGACATGGCCTCTCTCTCTCCTGTTGTACCTTCTCTCTGTGACATGGCCTCTCTCTCTCCTGTTGTACCTTTGCTCTCTGTGACATGGCCTCTCTCTCTCCTGTTGTACCTTTGCTCTCTGTGACATGGCCTCTCTCTCTCCTGTTGTACCTTTGCTCTCTGTGGCATGGCCTCTCTCTCTCTCCTGTTGTACCTTTGCTCTCTGTGACATGGCCTCTCTCTCTCCTGTTGTACCTTTGCTCTCTGTGACATGGCCTCTCTCTCTCCTGTTGTACCTTTGCTCTCTGTGACATGGCCTCTCTCTCTCCTGTTGTACCTTTGCTCTCTGTGACATGGCCTCTCTCTCTCTCCTGTTGTACCTTTGCTCTCTGTGACATGGCCTCTCTCTCTCCTGTTGTACCTTTGCTCTCTGTGACATGGCCTCTCTCTCTCTCCTGTTGTACCTTTGCTCTCTGTGACATGGCCTCCCTCTCTCCTGTTGTACCTTTGCTCTCTGTGACATGGCCTCTCTCTCCTGTTGTACCTTTGCTCTCTGTGACATGGCCTCTCTCTCTCTCTCCTGTTGTACCTTTGCTCTCTGTGACATGGCCTCTCTCTCTCCTGTTGTACCTTTGCTCTCTGTGACATGGCCTCTCTCTCTCTCCTGTTGTACCTTTGCTCTCTGTGACATGGCCTCTCTCTCTCCTGTTGTACCTTTGCTCTCTGTGACATGGCCTCTCTCTCTCCTGTTGTACCTTTGCTCTCTGTGACATGGCCTCTCTCTCTCCTGTTGTACCTTTGCTCTCTGTGACATGGCCTCTCTCTCTCCTGTTGTACCTTTGCTCTCTGTGACATGGCCTCTCTCTCTCCTGTTGTACCTTTGCTCTCTGTGACATGGCCTCTCTCTCTCCTGTTGTACCTTTGCTCTCTGTGACATGGCATCTCTCTCCTGTTGTACCTTTGCTCTCTGTGACATGGCCTCTCTCTCCTGTTGTACCTTTGCTCTCTGTGACATGGCCTCTCTCTCCTGTTGTACCTTTGCTCTATCTGACTTCATAGAAAGTTAGTGTTGTAATAGTGGGGTCAGTTAAATACAATCAATAACAGTGTAATTCAAGGCAGATGGCAGATTATGTAAATACATTAACTTTAGAAACATGACATTATCAAGAAAATGTCTTTATTGAAGTCTTAGTTACTGTTTGTCACGTCCCTTTTGACAATTTTCCTCAGAATAAACAAACCCCGAGATATTGTTGGAGAGAAGCACATGGGGCCTGATGAATTGCCGAGTGACTGTTGCCAGCAGCGATGTAGTGAATTATTGTCTTCGCAGCTGGGAAAGGTAGCACAATACCTTTATAATTAAAACAGCTAAGAAAGAGTTGCTCCGAAAGAAGAGGTGGCATTTACTCCTTTTTCTCCGGTGCATAAATCACCCCTTGGAAAATGGCGTTTAAATATGCAGGGCTATTTTAGTGCCTGTTGGAAGCGTGACACTCCAAAAGTTAAACTTTCAACACTTTCATTGTGTTGATAATGTGGTATTATGAATGAAAAACCTCCTAAAGGTTTGATTGGTGAGCCAATGCCCAAGAAGAAAACAACCTTACCACTGTAGAAATATGTGATTGACGTATTTGACCACATTGAGTCTCGTTCATTTGTGTTACACACTAATTACTTTTTACTTTTTTTTTACTTTGGAGAACAGAACATGAGCCCGTTTACTCAAACAGCTGAATTATATCCATGCGCAGCGACGGAAATGAGACAAAATGACCCAGTGAAATTACATAAAGCTTTCATATCAGATGACCGTTCAAATGACCGTTCAAATGACCATTCAGATGACCGTTCAGATGACCGTTCAGATGACAGTTCAGATGACCGTTCAGATGACCGTTCAGATGACCGTTCAGATGACAGTTCAGATGACCGTTCAGATGACAGTTCAGATGACCGTTCAGATGACCGTTCAGATGACCGTTCAGATGACAGTTCAGATGACCGTTCAGATGACCGTTCAGATGACCGTTCAGATGACAGTTCAGATGACAGTTCAGATGACCGTTCAGATGACCGTTCAGATGACAGTTCAGATGACAGTTCAGATGACAGTTCAGATGACCGTTCAGATGACAGTTCAGATGACCGTTCAGATGACAGTTCAGATGACCGTTCAGATGACCGTTCAGATGACAGTTCAGATGACCGTTCAGATGACAGTTCAGATGAGAGTTCAGATGACAGTTCAGATGACAGTTCAGATGACCGTTCAGATGACCGTTCAAATGACCGTTCAGATGACCGTTCAGATGACAGTTCAGATGACAGTTCAGATGACCGTTCAGATGACCGTTCAGATGACCGTTCAGATGACAGTTCAGATGACAGTTCAGATGACAGTTCAGATGACCGTTCAGATGACCGTTCAAATGACCGTTCAGATGACCGTTCAGATGACAGTTCAGATGACAGTTCAGATGACAGTTCAGATGACAGTTCAGATGACAGTTCAGATGACCGTTCAGATGACCGTTCAGATGACCGTTCAGATGACAGTTCAGATGACCGTTCAGATGACCGTTCAAATGACCGTTCAGATGACCGTTCAGATGACAGTTCAGATGACAGTTCAGATGACAGTTCAGATGACAGTTCAGATGACCGTTCAGATGACCGTTCAGATGACAGTTCAGATGACAGTTCAGATGACCGTTCAGATGACCGTTCAGATGACCGTTCAGATGACAGTTCAGATGACCGTTCAGATGACAGTTCAGATGACCGTTCAAATGACCGTTCAGATGACCGTTCAGATGACAGTTCAGATGACAGTTCAGATGACCGTTCAGATGACAGTTCAGATGACCGTTCAGATGACCGTTCAGATGACAGTTCAGATGACAGTTCAGATGACCGTTCAGATGACCGTTCAGATGACCGTTCAGATGACAGTTCAGATGACAGTTCAGATGACCGTTCAGATGACCGTTCAGATGACAGTTCAGATGACAGTTCAGATGACCGTTCAGATGACCGTTCAGATGACAGTTCAGATGACAGTTCAGATGACAGTTCAGATGACAGTTCAGATGACGTTCAGATGACAGTTCAGATGACCGTTCAGATGACGTTCAGATGACAGTTCAGATGACAGTTCAGATGACAGTTCAGATGACCGTTCAGATGACAGTTCAGATGACCGTTCAGATGACAGTTCAGATGACCGTTCAAATGACCGTTCAGATGACCGTTCAGATGACCGTTCAGATGACAGTTCAGATGACAGTTCAGATGACCGTTCAGATGACCGTTCAGATGACCGTTCAGATGACAGTTCAGATGACAGTTCAGATGACCGTTCAGATGACCGTTCAGATGACCGTTCAAATGACCGTTCAAATGACCGTTCAAAATGACCGTTCAGATGACCGTTCAGATGACCGTTCAGATGACAGTTCAGATGACAGTTCAGATGACCGTTCAGATGACCGTTCAGATGACCGTTCAGATGAGAGTTCAGATGACAGTTCAGATGACCGTTCAGATGACCGTTCAGATGACCGTTCAGATGACCGTTCAGATGACCGTTCAGATGACAGTTCAGATGACAGTTCAGATGACCGTTCAAATGACCGTTCAGATGACAGTTCAGATGACAGTTCAGATGACCGTTCAGATGACAGTTCAGATGACAGTTCAGATGACCGTTCAAATGACCGTTCAGATGACAGTTCAGATGACAGTTCAGATGACCGTTCAGATGACCGTTCAGATGACAGTTCAGATGACCGTTCAAATGACCGTTCAGATGACAGTTCAGATGACAGTTCAGATGACCGTTCAGATGACCGTTCAGATGACAGTTCAGATGACAGTTCAGATGACCGTTCAGATGACCGTTCAGATGACCGTTCAGATGACAGTTCAGATGACAGTTCAGATGACCGTTCAGATGACCGTTCAGATGACCGTTCAGATGACAGTTCAGATGACCGTTCAGATGACCGTTCAGATGACCGTTCAGATGACAGTTCAGATGACAGTTCAGATGACAGTTCAGATGACCGTTCAGATGACCGTTCAGATGACCGTTCAGATGACCGTTCAGATGACAGTTCAGATGACAGTTCAGATGACCGTTCAGATGACAGTTCAGATGACAGTTCAGATGACCGTTCAGATGACCGTTCAGATGACCGTTCAGATGACCGTTCAGATGACAGTTCAGATGACAGTTCAGATGACCGTTCAGATGACAGTTCAGATGACAGTTCAGATGACAGTTCAGATGACCGTTCAGATGACCGTTCAGATGACAGTTCAGATGACCGTTCAGATGACCGTTCAGATGACCGTTCAGATGACAGTTCAGATGACAGTTCAGATGACAGTTCAGATGACAGTTCAGATGACAGTTCAGATGACCGTTCAGATGACCGTTCAAATGACCGTTCAGATGACAGTTCAGATGACAGTTCAGATGACCGTTCAGATGACCGTTCAGATGACAGTTCAGATGACAGTTCAGATGACCGTTCAGATGACCGTTCAGATGACCGTTCAGATGACAGTTCAGATGACAGTTCAGATGACCGTTCAGATGACAGTTCAGATGACCGTTCAGATGACCGTTCAGATGACCGTTCAGATGACAGTTCAGATGACAGTTCAGATGACAGATGACCGTTCAGATGACCGTTCAGATGACCGTTCAGATGACCGTTCAGATGACAGTTCAGATGACCGTTCAGACGTTCAGATGACCGTTCAGATGTGTGTGTGTGTGTGGTGTGTTGCTTCATGACAGCATCACAAACACGTGTGTGTGTGTGTCGCTTCATGACAACATCATTAACACATGTGTGTGTGTGTGTGGTGTGTCGCTTCATGACAGCATCACAAACACGTGTGTGTGTGTGTGTGTGTGTGTGTGTGGTGTGTCGCTTCATGACAGCATCACAAACACATGTGTGTGTGTGTGTGTGTGGTGTGTCGCTTCATGACAGCATCACAAACACGTGTGTGTGGTGTGTCGCTTCATGACAACATCATTAACACATGTGTGTGTGTGTGTGTGTGTCGCTTCATGACAACATCATTAACACATGTGTGTGTGTGTGTGTGTGTGTGTGTCGCTTCATGACAGCATCACAAACACATGTGTGTGTGTGTCGCTTCATGACAGCATCACAAACACATGTGTGTGTGTGTGTCGCTTCATGACAGCATCATTGTCATCATTTATCTGTGTGTAATTCAAAAATGTTTGTGTTGTTCCTGTCGTATTGTTAAACTCATAAATGGAGCTCAAATAAATTATTTGTCAATAATTGTGTAATGATTATTGGAATTTTGATCTATTTTAAGCATCTGAAAAACACACAATGTCTCGCTTACATGTCGACACACAGTTTTTGTTGTTGCACTTGATATCAGTGTATTGCAGAACTGTTCATTATATAGTTTTAACACAATCTCGATGAATTATTTTCAACATATGCTGTTCTAACGATTCACAATCCAATACATTATTTGACCAAAAAAGAGCATTTCTGATGCAACTTTTGCCTGTTATCATCCTGATTGTGGTTGGCTGCAGATGTCCAAACAAAACACTTGGGAACCTTTGGAAAAATGGCACATGACTGATTTGAAAGTCAAATGGTGGAGCACCAAAGTCTGGCTGACATTTGTGAAGCAGACTGTGTTATCACCGACTCAGCTTTCTTCAGCTCACTCAAGCTCCTCAATTTCTTTAGCTCTGACAATAATATTTGTAAATCTCTCGTACACTAATATTCTAATTTTTAAAACTATATAGATAAAAAATATAGCAGCCGTTGTCTCAGACGACTTTATAAAGTAATTAATTCACCAACACAGATTATTTACAGCAAACACAAAGGAGCCGTTAGTCTGTAGTGATGAGGGTTATGGACCATGTCCATAAATGTACTTTGAGGTCCTAAATGTACTTTGAGGTCCTTAAATGTACTTTGAGGTCCTAAATGTACTTTGAGGTCCTAAATGTACTTTGAGGTCCTTAAATGTACTTTGAGGTCCTAAATGTACTTTGAGGTCCTAAATGTACTTTGAGGTCCTTAAATGTACATTGAGGTCCTAAATGTACTTTGAGGTTCTTAAATGTACTTTGAGGTCCTTAAATGTACTTTGAGGTCCTTAAATGTCCTGGATCAACATCCCTGAACTCAGTCCCTCCTGCATCTTCAAGGAACCACTCCAGTGGGAAAAAAGTGAGAAACCTCGGGGTGGCCCACATTGAGAGCGAGGCCCACATTGAGAGCGAGGCCCACATTGAGAGCGAGGCCCACATTGAGAGCGAGCCCCGCTCTCATGGACACATGGGCCAAAGATCCAATTCAATTCAATTTATTCCTGTATAACCACACGACGGTTTATAGAAGGAGGACCAAGCCCAAGTAATGCAGGACTGAGGCGACTCCACGGCCGGGAGGGGGGTGCAGTCCACGAATCCAGGCCAGAGGAGACCAGTCCACGAGTCCAGGCTGGAGGAGACCAGTCCATAGGTCCATAGGTCCAGGCCAGAGGAGACCAATCCATAGGAGACCAGTCCATAGGTCCATAGGTCCAGGCCAGAGGAGACCAGGTGCAGATGAAAGAGGCTGGGGTCAGGGGTCTCATGAAGGCTCCCTGACACAGATGATGGGGCAGCAGACTACAGCTGAAGTCATGATGCTGACGGACAAAGAAGCTTATTCCACAAAACATAGAGTCAATCGATCTATTTGATGACAAGAGTAAGTAAGTAATGTTTATTTATATAGCACATTTAACAGATTTACTAACCCTTTCCCTCAGCGCTTTACAATGTTCAGATTGTTCCATTCTCTCCACACTGTGACGATGGAAGCGAGTCCTGAACACTGGTCCATCAAAGCCTCTGACCAAACACCCTCCATTCACTCATTCATTTACATTCATACCTATTGTGTATGTTTTTAGTGGTGGGGAAACCGGAGCACCCGGAGGAAACCTACACAGACACAGGAGAACATGCAAACTCCACTCAGAAAGGCCCTGTTCTGCCCGGGATTCAAACCCTGGACCTTCTTGGCACCGTGCCGCCCACAAGTATGGAATTGTCCCTCCTCCCATCACAGTGATCAACAGTCTAAGGCTCGTTAGTGTAAAAGGTCTAATTAGCTTTGTTCAATGATTGTACAAACCCATGGCCTAAGCAGGACATTGTTTATCAGACACATAACCCTAAAATGTGGGTCATAACCCCAAACCATAGACCGTGGGCTATGTTTTATTCCTAATATGGATGGCCTCCAACCAGCAACATCTCTGGAGGTTTTATGGAAATTAATAATTTACAACAATTTATGCATTTTCTTTTGAATTAAACATGAAATTATTGAAGTTAGATTTTAAATAATTGAAGGACAGGAGTTGATGTCGGCATTTTAGGTTTTAATATCTGAGACTAGAACACATTTTCAGCATTTTATCCATACTAATATGGATCATACTAATATGGATCATACTAATATGGATCATACTAATATGGATCATACTAATATGGATCATACTAATATGGATCATACTAATCCTGATCATACTAATATGGATCATACTAATATGGATCATACTAATATGGATCATACTAATATGGATCATACTAATCCTGATCATACTAATATGGATCATACTAATATGGATCATACTAATATGGATCATACTAATATGGATCATACTAATCCTGATCATACTAATATGGATCATACTAATATGGATCATACTAATATGGATCATACTAATATGGATCATACTAATATGGATCATACTAATCCTGATCATACTAATATGGATCATACTAATATGGATCATACTAATATGGATCATACTAATATGGATCATACTAATATAGATCATACTAATATGGATCATACTAATCCTGATCATACTAATATGGATCATACTAATATAGATCATACTAATATGGATCATACTAATCCTGATCATACTAATATAGATCATACTAATATGGATCATACTAATATGGATCATACTAATATGGATCATACTAATATGGATCATACTAATATGGATCATACTAATATGGATCATACTAATATGGATCATACTAATATGGATCATACTAATCCTGATCATACTAATATGGATCATACTAATATGGATCATACTAATATGGATCATACTAATATGGATCATACTAATCCTGATCATACTAATATGGATCATACTAATATGGATCATACTAATATGGATCATACTAATATAGATCATACTAATATGGATCATACTAATCCTGATCATACTAATATGGATCATACTAATATAGATCATACTAATATGGATCATACTAATCCTGATCATACTAATATGGATCATACTGATATGGATCATACTAATATGGATCATACTAATATAGATCATACTAATATGGATCATACTAATATGGATCATACTAATATAGATCATACTAATATAGATCATACTAATATGGATCATACTAATATGGATCATACTAATATGGATCATACTAATATAGATCATACTAATATGGATCATACTAATATGGATCATACTAATATAGATCATACTAATATAGATCATACTAATATGGATCATACTAATATGGATCATACTAATATGGATCATACTAATATGGATCATACTAATATGGATCATACTAATCCTGATCATACTAATATGGATCATACTAATATGGATCATACTAATATGGATCATACTAATATGGATCATACTAACGTGGATCATACTAATATGGATCATACTAATATGGATCATACTAATATGGATCATACTAATATGGATCATACTAATATGGATCATACTAATATGGATCATACTAATCCTGATCATACTAATATGGATCATACTAATATGGATCATACTAATATGGATCATACTAATATGGATCATACTAATATGGATCATACTAATATGGATCATACTAATATGGATCATACTAATATGGATCATACTAATATGGATCATACTAATATGGATCATACTAATATGGATCATACTAATATGGATCATACTAATATGGATCATACTAATCCTGATCATACTAATATGGATCATACTAATATGGATCATACTAATATGGATCATACTAATATGGATCATACTAACGTGGATCATACTAATATGGATCATACTAATATGGATCATACTAATATGGATCATACTAATATGGATCATACTAATATGGATCATACTAATATGGATCATACTAATCCTGATCATACTAATATGGATCATACTAATATGGATCATACTAATATGGATCATACTAATATGGATCATACTAATATGGATCATACTAATATGGATCATACTAATATGGATCATACTAACGTGGATCCTACTAAAATAACGGGTCCTAACAGGTCCTACCTGGTCCTACCTGGTCCTAACAGGTCCTACCTGGTCCTAACTGGTCCTAACTGGTCCTAACTGGTCCTAACCCGTTTTGCCTGCTCCGTCGGGAGGTGAAGGTGGAGCATGAGCGAGCGATAGGACCCAAAAGATGGTGAACTATGCCTGGGCAGGGCCAAGCCAGAGGAAACTCTGGGTGAGGCCCGGAGCGGTCCTGGGTACAGGGGCCAAAGACTAATCCAACCTTCTAGTAGCTATCTGGTCCTATCTGGTCCTATCTGGTCCTATCTGGTCCTATCTGGTCCTATCTGGTCCTATCTGGTCCTATCTGGTCCTATCTGGTCCTATCTGGTCCTATCTGGTCCTAGCTAGTCCTAACTGAGTTATTTCTGATGATAAACACCATATGTCACCACAGTGCTGTGTGCGGGGAACAGTTTGCATTTTGTCTTTTCAAAATAAGAGCAGTGCAAAAGAAATAGACTTTTATAACTTAACTCCTCAAAAAAGCCTTCAATATTTTCCAACCGCACACAATCTCATAAGGAGGAGGAGGATGATGAGGAGGAGGAGGAGGAGGAGGATGATGAGGAGGAGGAGGAGGATGAGGAGGATGAGGAGGATGATGATGATGATGATGATGATGAGGAGGATGATGATGATAATAAGATAAGATATGCTTTATTGATCTCACAAAGGAGAAATGCGCATGTCACATTTGGCACAGATAGAAACACTCAGATTGTGCAAAAAGAAAGAAATGTGCAACATGTTAAATGCAGGATATATGTACAATAAAAAGTGGCAATTTAAAAGTGTCAATCAGAAACAGTGTCAAAAGTAGTGCAGGTTTTTTCAGTCTTAATACAGTGACTTAAAGTGACTTGTTGTACAGTCTGACAGTGGTGGGGATAAAGGCCCTGCTCCTTCTTCCACTGAAGGAGCTCCTCCTCAGTCCTGTGCAGTGGCTTTGACAAGCACCTCCTGTCCCTCACCTCCTCCACAGAGTCCAGGGGCCTCCTGTCCCTCACCTCCTCCACAGAATCCAGGGGCCTCCTGTCCCTCACCTCCTCCACAGAGTCCAGGGGCCTCCTGTCCCTCACCTCCTCCACAGAGTCCAGGGGCCTCCTGTCCCTCACCTCCTCCACAGAGTCCAGGGGCCTCCTGTCCCCTCACCTCCTCCACAGAGTCCAGGGGCCTCCTGTCCCTCACCTCCTCCACAGAGTCCAGGGGCCTCCTGTCCCTCACCTCCTCCACAGAATCCAGGGGCCTCCTGTCCCTCACCTCCTCCACAGAGTCCAGGGGCCTCCTGTCCCTCACCTCCTCCACAGAGTCCAGGGGCCTCCTGTCCCTCACCTCCTCCACAGAGTCCAGGGGCCTCCTGTCCCTCACCTCCTCCACAGAGTCCAGGGGCCTCCTGTCCCTCACCTCCTCCACAGAGTCCAGGGGCCTCCTGTCCCTCACCTCCTCCATAGAGTCCAGGGGCCTCCTGTCCCTCACCTCCTCCACAGAGTCCAGGGGCCTCCTGTCCCTCACCTCCTCCACAGAGTCCAGGGGCCTCCTGTCCCTCACCTCCTCCACAGAGTCCAGGGGCCTCCTGTCCCTCACCTCCTCCACAGAGTCCAGGGGCCTCCTGTCCCTCACCTCCTCCACAGAGTCCAGGGGCCTCCTGTCCCTCACCTCCTCCACAGAGTCCAGGGGCCTCCTGTCCCTCACCACCTCCACAGAGTCCAGGGGCCTCCTGTCCCTCACCTCCTCCACAGAGTCCAGGGGCCTCCTGTCCCTCACCTCCTCCACAGAGTCCAGGGGCCTACTGTCCCTCACCTCCTCCACAGAGTCCAGGGGCCTCCTGTCCCTCACCTCCTCCACAGAGTCCAGGGGCCTCCTGTCCCTCACCTCCTCCACAGAGTCCAGGGGCCTCCTGTCCCTCACCTCCTCCACACAGAGTCCAGGGGCCTCCTGTCCCTCACCTCCTCCACAGAGTCCAGGGGCCTCCTGTCCCTCACCTCCTCCACAGAGTCCAGGGGCCTCCTGTCCCTCACCTCCTCCATAGAGTCCAGGGGCCTCCTGTCCCTCACCTCCTCCACAGAGTCCAGGGGCCTCCTGTCCCCTCACCTCCTCCACAGAGTCCAGGGGCCTCCTGTCCCTCACCTCCTCCACAGAGTCCAGGGGCCTCCTGTCCCTCACCTCCTCCACAGAGTCCAGGGGCCTCCTGTCCCTCACCTCCTCCACAGAGTCCAGGGGCCTCCTGTCCCTCACCTCCTCCACAGAGTCCAGGGGCCTCCTGTCCCTCACCTCCTCCACAGAGTCCAGGGGCCTCCTGTCCCTCACCTCCTCCACAGAGTCCAGGGGCCTCCTGTCCCTCACCTCCTCCATAGAGTCCAGGGGCCTCCTGTCCCTCACCTCCTCCACAGAGTCCAGGGGCCTCCTGTCCCTCACCTCCTCCACAGAGTCCAGGGGCCTCCTGTCCCTCACCTCCTCCACAGAGTCCAGGGGCCTCCTGTCCCTCACCTCCTCCACAGAGTCCAGGGGCCTCCTGTCCCTCACCTCCTCCACAGAGTCCAGGGGCCTCCTGTCCCTCACCTCCTCCACAGAGTCCAGGGGCCTCCTGTCCCTCACCACCTCCACAGAGTCCAGGGGCCTCCTGTCCCTCACCTCCTCCACAGAGTCCAGGGGCCTCCTGTCCCTCACCTCCTCCACAGAGTCCAGGGGCCTACTGTCCCTCACCTCCTCCACAGAGTCCAGGGGCCTCCTGTCCCTCACCTCCTCCACAGAGTCCAGGGGCCTCCTGTCCCTCACCTCCTCCACAGAGTCCAGGGGCCTCCTGTCCCTCACCTCCTCCTGACCAGCTTGTTCAGTCTGTTTCTGTCCCGCTCTGTGCTGCCCGGGGCCCAGCACACGGCAGCGTAGTAAATGGCAGAGCCTACCACAGAGTCATAAAAAGTCCTGAGCAGAGGCCTGCTCACTCCGAAGGACCTCAGCCTCCTCAGAAGGACCTCAGCCTCCTCAGAAGGACCTCAGCCTCCTCAGAAGGACCTCAGCCTCCTCAGAAGGACCTCAGCCTCCTCAGAAGGACCTCAGCCTCCTCAGAAGGACCTCAGCCTCCTCAGAAGAACCTCAGCCTCCTCAGAAGGACCTCAGCCTCCTCAGAAGGACCTCAGCCTCCTCAGAAGGACCTCAGCCTCCTCAGAAGGACCTCAGCCTCCACAGAAGGACCTCAGCCTCCTCAGAAGGACCTCAGCCTCCTCAGAAGGACCTCAGCCTCCTCAGAAGGACCTCAGCCTCCTCAGAAGGACCTCAGCCTCCTCAGAAGGACCTCAGCCTCCACAGAAGGACCTCAGCCTCCTCAGAAGGACCTCAGCCTCCTCAGAAGGACCTCAGCCTCCTCAGAAGGACCTCAGCCTCTTCAGAAGGACCTCAGCCTCCTCAGAAGGACCTCAGCCTCCACAGAAGGACCTCAGCCTCCTCAGAAGGAAGAGGCAACTTTGGCCCTTCTTGTGCAGGGCGTTTGTATTATGGACCAGTCCAGTTTATTGTTAATGTGAACACCCAGGTACTTGAAGCTGTCCACCAGCTCAATGTCCTCCCCCTGGATGTTCAGCAGCGTGTGGGAAAGTGGTTTTCTCCTGAAGTCGATGATCATCTCCTTGGTCTTACTGGTGTTCAAGCACAAGTGGTTGCGCTCGCTCATAATGATAATAATGATAATAATAATGTTGATAATAATAATAATGTGTTTTCATGACGACTGAAGACCTTTCACGTGGCCATATTTGTTCATGTGTTCATGTGTTGATTCTGTGGTGTGCTCTGGTTGTTCATGTGTTCATGTGTAACAGTTTTATTGACATTCTGGCGTCCACTTAGCACTCGACACGTCCTGTCTGCAGAATCAAGAGTGTGTGACGTGACATCACACTGGTCTCATGCTCCAGACCTGCTCATCCCGACACTAGACACCACTGCACTTTATAAATACAGTGAAGTGTATTGTATTTAACGTTATTACTATTCTGAACAAGGATACGAGGAATGACTTGATATTGATATCAGAAGGAAATACAGATGGTTGTGGGTTATGTTAAATCAGTGGTCTGCTAATAGCATGGTTCATTTCATACTAAGGTCTGGATTTGCTCCATTGAGCTCCGTGAACAGGTGGGAGGGGTTAACTTTACTATCGCATTCTTCGCCACTGCCAAGCTACAACTTGCCCGTTCGGCGCAAACTCTTGACGTCACCGGCACCGACCTACAACGCGCTCTCTGAGTAGCCGGTCGAAATACGACCGATTGTATTCGCTAACACAGGGACCAGACCCAGACGCTACATGCAGTGAAATGATGATAGAGCGGAGTGTACGGATGGCCATGGCCAGGCTATCTGCTACACCTCATTTTAATTATTATGTACACATTTACTAATAATATAAGATTATCAATTCCAATACACGTTTAGTGTGCCCATGGAAGAGGTTCACTGAAAACTAGGATGAATATAAAACTGCAGCAACAAAAGCGTCTAAACAATTGGTTTGTAACTATCGGTCTGACCTGGGATCAGTCACTCCCTTTTTCCAAACATTCTCACACATTTGGGAAGTAGTAGTATTTCCTGATAGTGACTGACAGACAAAAATATGACTTTTTTCCTCTCCATTTCTCTATAAGTGTGAAGAGGAAATGTATATGTATTAATGTCAAACAACTGAATCCTGAATGAACCTGACTAAAATGAACGAAATGAAAACTTGAGACTTCCTTCTAAGCCGCGGTTTAGTCCACTGGGCGAGAGTCCTGCTTCTCATAAAGTTGTGGTTCATGTGTTCATGTGTTGTGGAGGAGGTGTTAATGGCTGAATGTAACTCAGAGGAGGACAGACTGAGAGGAAGTGAGTGACTGCTGCACTGTTTCCATTGGCAACGAACCCCACACTTGCGTCAGAGTTCACAGTTAGAGCCTCCACCCTGATGATCCCTGATGATCAGACCCTGAGGATCAGACCCTGAGGATCAGACCCTGAGGATCAGACCCTGATGATCAGACCCTGAGGATCAGACCCTGATGATCAGACCCTGATGATCCCTGAGGATCAGACCCTGATGATCCCTGAGGATTAGACCCTGATGATCAGACCCTGATGATCAGACCCTGATGATCAGACCCTGAGGATCAGACCCTGAGGATCAGACCCTGATACAATACAATACAATGTATTCTTGTATAGCCCTAGGTCACAACAGAAGTCATCTCAGAGACTTAACAAAACCATTGAAATCACCAACACAGGTCAGAGAATCAACAGTTAAAACACATGAAGAATACAGTATAAAGCACACACAGAAGAAAATGTCCATACATGTTGTAGAATGCTAAAGTGTCCTGATCATCACCAATCCTTTCTGTTGGACACTAACTGTCCAACAAGACCCTCCTGCATCGACAAGGAAAAACTCTTAAAAAACCCAGTGGGAAAAAGTGAGAAACCTTGGAGGAGAACTAGGGAAACCCACAGGGAGGGAGACCCATATGAGAAAGGGATCCGCTCCTCCGGACGGACAGACTAATGATCCAGGACCTAAGCTAGCTACAGGACGTGGACCAGTGGACGCTGAACGTGGACAGGTCCGGTGCAGGACTGAAGCACTCCCAGGCGGGTCGGGCGGGGCAGTCCGCAGGTGTAGATGGAGGAGGCCAGGCTCAGAGATCCCGTCATCGTACCATGAAACAGACAATGGGACAACGGGTGAATAGCAATGAACAAACTACAGTCAGAATCCTAAAAATGCTAAACAGATAAAGTAGGAAGGAGGAGAGGATAGTGCTCAAGTTACCATACTTCTCCAGCAAACTGACTCCCTATGCAGCTTGACTGACAGTCTGAGGAGTTTAACCTTCTCCGAGTCTTACCTTCCTAGCCATATGCTAAACTAAAGAGGACTGTTTTAAACCTAGCCTTGAATAAAGAATAACATACAGCATAATATATAACATAATATACAACATAACACAATACATTATTGAATAATATATAACATAATATATAACATAATACAGCATATATATATAATATATACACTACATATTATATATTACCTAATTATATGCTAAATTAAAGTAGAGTGCTTTAAGCCTGGCCTTGAACGTGGAGACCGTATCTGCTTCCTTAACATAAATGAAGCTGATTCCACAGTAAAGGAGCTTGGAGCTAAATGCTCTGCCACCAACAGTGACCTTTGAGACCTTAGGGACCACCAGACGTCTGGCGTTTTGTGAGCGCAACGCTCAACTTGGTTGATACGACACTAACGTGTCTTGGAGATAAGAAGGAGCCAAGCCATTTATGGCTTTATATGTTAAGAGTAGGATTTTAAACTTTATTCTGTACTCCACAGGAGCCAGTGGAGTGATTTTAACACCGGAGTTATGTGCTCCCTCCTTTTGGTACCTGTTAAGATCCTAGCTGCTGCGTTATTAGATGATGATCAGACCCTGAGGATCAGACCCTGATGATCAGACCCTGATGATCAGACCCTGATGATCAGACCCTGATGATCAGACCCTGATGATCAGACCCTGATGATCAGACCCTGATGATCAGACCCTGATGATCAGACCCTGATGATCAGACCCTGATGATCAGACCCTGATGATCAGACCCTGATGATCAGACCCTGAGGATCAGACCCTGATGATCAGACCCTGATGATCAGACCCTGATGATCAGACCCTGATGATCAGACCCTGAGGATCAGACCCTGATGATCAGACCCTGATGATCATTATGAAGTGATATTAACCCTGGATACTTTCATCTCACAGAGTCATACACTGTGAGTGGTTTTATGTGACATCATTTGTGTGTGACATCATTTGTGTGTGACATCATTTGTGTGTGACATCATTTGTGTGTGACATCATTTGTGTGTGACATATAATCGCTGCCTCCAGAGGCTGTGGAAAAGTGCAGACGAGGCGTAGACTTTGGGAGTGCTCTTGGTGTGAGATCCTTACCACACGTCAAAGAAGATCTCAAGGTGCAACAACAAAACAACGTGAAGCTGCGTCTGCTGCAGCTGCGTCTGCTGCAGCTGCGGCTGCTGCAGCTGCGGCGCCACAACTTTCCATCCTCGGTCCCACTTGAACCACAGAGAGACACCTGGATGTCTCTGTGTTTGCTGTGTTCTGATCCAAATATGTTTATTTTTATTGGATATTGAACACCCAGTGATAGGGGAGGACATATACAGTGGTATTTAGATTATACATATCCTGCAGTAGTATTGTGGGACGGGGAGGGCGTTCCGAGTCGCTGCGAGTGTGTGTGCATGTGTGTGTGTGCGTGTGTGTGCGTGCGTGCGTGTGCATGTGTGTGTGTGTGCGTGTGCGTCCGCTGATGTGACAGGGTGGAAGTGGTATCCTAGAGCAGGGACACGTGATGTGGTGCATAAATAGATAAAACAGAGTAAAGGGACTGGTCCTAAACAGTGATGTTCAAGTGTAGGGTGTTTTATTTTATATACCAGTGTTTTAATAGTGCTTATGATCCCTCATTTTTCCTGTAATCCTTTTAATGTTTTTTTACACAGTCATGAAGCGAGTCTGTAGCCTCAGTCTAAAGAGTCCAGAGTCCACACAAAACGTCTTAAAGCTAAAAATATATATAAAAAAGAGAGAAATCTTTTAATAGAAACTTGTGTAATGGAGTTATTTGCATCTTACTGTGAGGCTGAAACTGAAGTCAGATGAAAACAATCTGCTTTTGATCACAGCACATCGCTTACATTTGCTATTTTTATCCTGTTTGTGTTTCAAATGAAGCTCTGGCCCATTTGTTTTGGC